TATATATATATATATATATAGTAGTAAAATAAATTAAAATTTGAGGGGGGCCATGGCCCCGTCTGGCTTAGCACGCAGCTTCCTCTCTCTCTTACAGCAATGGTGACATAGTTTTTTGTTGTCATATATAATAGGTGATTAGTAATGGGAAATTTTCGAGCCCGATACACAGAGTGATGACGCACTCGGAAGAAGCTCGGACCACCATCGGGACATTCTTGATTCCATCGCAAGAAATATGTATAGAGCCGGCGAAGGAATATTCCGGCGAAGATCCCCTCTACAGAAGTTTCACGTATAAAGAATTCTTCAACACCTTCACTCAGAGCAACTGTGATGCTGATACTGCACTCCAATATTTTAAGAAATAATTATAAAGATCACTAAAATAATAATGTGCAGCGAGTACTAAACACCCAAGAAAGTCATCATTTATTTAAGGATGAAGTGATTAACGGATAAATGCTTGAGTGTGTGTGTGTGTGTGTGTGTGTGAGAGAGAGTGCGCGTGCTTGTGTGTGTGAGTGCGTGCTCGCGTGTGCGTGTGGATTGAAGTTCCAATTTATATATATGTGTGTGTGGATTGAAGTTGCAATTTTCATTAACCACTATCTTCTTCTTCTTCCCGGTACTCTCATCCTGATTACATTTTTTTTTAATTAATTTTTGTTTTTTTAATTTTAATTTTTTTATTATTATTTTTATATTTTAAAAAAGATTTACAATTTTTTTTTAATTATTTTTTTCATTTCTTTTTACCTTTTTCCTCTGTCAGATATATTAATCGACTAAAGCATAGTCGATTAAGTAACTGACTACTAAAATCGTTGTTAAATAATAAAATTGACTACTAAAAGTAATAATAACAATCGTAATGACGTCAATGAAACCCAAACAGTAACAATCAACCGCAAAAGATAACAAAAACAACTACAAAAACATTAAAAATCGACTATTTTTTACAAACAACAAATATACAAAACTTATAATTGATTTATATGAATCAGATGATGGATTGACAATGGCAGAACAAAAACACACCACCACTATACCCCACATCCAACTACACGTGGCAAAATAAGGATCCAATAAACATAAATCCAAAAATGAATTAAAAAATATAGTCGATTAACCTTAATCGACTACTCAGTTCCGTCCTAAGCCCCGTCAACAACCTCCATCGACTTCCTCCGCCCGCGCTGTCCTCGACACAATCTACCCAAAAAAATCTAGATTTGCTATCCATCGTCACCACGGCGTCGCCACACCACACCATCACCATCCTCGCCCCCCAAACCCATTACAACCACCGGTCATATCCAAACACACCACTGTAAAACACAATATACAAACCTATACCACCGCCGCAAGCATCTTCATGAATACAACCATCGTCGCTGCCATCTTCCTCGAAAAATAAACCTTATACGCGACGTCGAATGGGATCTAGAGCGGGAAGGAGAAGGAGAGATTTCAATAGGGGGATTGAAAGTCGGAGAAGTCCGCTTAATCGCGGCCGTAGATTCACATGGGGAAGTGGTCCGTTTTTCTGGCGGCGGCGCATCGGTTCTTGAATTCCAGATCGATGTCTATGGATTCGGATGGGAAAAGAGAGGAGAAAAAAAAAAAAAAACAGAGAAAAGAGAAAACGGAAAAGGAGAGAAAAAAAATGAAATTAGGGTTGAAGGGCATGTTGAGCAATTTAAATTTATACGAACGGTTGTGTCAAAGGTAAAATGGTTCTCTCAAATTAGATAAAAAAAAAAGAGGTTCTCTCTCACAATATTTGCCAAATGAGGGAGGTCTTGCTAATTTTTCAAAAATAATTACGATTCCATCGGGAAAATCAAAAATTAAAATGAAAAAACTTGTCCAAAATCGTAAGTTTTCGGATTATAATTGGCGGAGTTCAAAAATTTCCAATCTTTAGCCACCTAAAATATAAATTAAAGTAGATGATAATATTGATATTATAAATGAAATAAAACAAAAATGATTTTTTTGGAATTATTTTCAGAAAAAGTAAAATCATATTAGAAATAGAAATCAGTATGCATATATATCTGATGATGCAAGTATTATATCACCTTAAGTAATTGAGGTAGGATGAACTGGGCGAGCGCGTGGCAGCCGCGCGCAACAAAAAAGAAAAAAAAAAAAAAAAGGGGAGAAAAAGCGCGTGCACACGCGCGCCTCCTCCGTCGCGCGCGAGCTGCGTAGAAGAAAAAACAAAAGGGAAAGAAAGGCGCATGCACAACAGGCGCGCGTGGCAGCCACGCGCCTTCCAAGGCCGTCCAATTGCGCATCCGCGTCAGCCCCCCTCCATCAAATCGTGCGCCTTCACCTCCCCCTCAAATCGCGCGTCAGCTCCCCCTCCAATCGCGCGCAACTCCCAATGCGCCCCACCAATTCGCACGTGGATTCCAACGCACTCCACCAAATCGCGCGCAGATTTCAACGGCCTCGGCTTAGTTTACGTGTGTTCTATTCGCAGGAATCTCACGACCATCTAGCTCATGAGCCAGTGATCCACTTTGCTCTCCCAGCTCGTTTTACTCTACTACCCAAGGTGATCTAGGCAATGTTTGGAAGCGTTTTGAAACTTATTTTGATTTCATTTTGAGGAAATATGTTTTGGGGGAAGAATTTGAGAATGAAAGTAATATTTGTTTATATTTTGGAAGGAAACAAAATACACTGTAGCAGTCACATCATGTTTAAAAATATTAGAAAAATGTATTTTAGAAGAAAAAAATTGAAAGATGAAGTGATATTTCTTTGTTTTTTAGTGAAGACATTTTTTACTGTACCAGTCAAATCATTTTACTGTAGCAGTCACATCATGTCTGAAGGAGAGAGAAACTTTTGAGATTGTTTTGAGAAAATTATTTGAGAAGTGTAATAAATGTAATTTTGTTTTGGGGAATCAATAAAAACAAAATAAAAACATAACCAAACATTGCCCTAATATTTAGCATCATCAATATCCAACACAAAAAAAATCGTAATAATTGAAAATCAGAATTTCTGAAGAAAAAATATTGTTCTAAAGTTGAAATTATTTTGAATGGAATTTACTGAAATCAAAAATTGCTTTCCAATTTCCACCTAAATTTAATTAGGATTAATTAACTTTGGCGTCTACCCATAATTATCAATATATATATATATATATATATATATATATATATATATATATATATATATATATATATATATATATATATATATATATATATATATATATATATATATATATATATATATATATATATATATATATATATATATATATATATATATATATATATATCTATATATATATAAAAATATATTTTTCTTCCTTTTAAACCACTCGAGAAATCCTCAATTAATTAAAAAGACAAAAAAAATCATTATGAGATGTCAAAATCAATTAAATAACTAATAAACTTGGTTTTATCGATCATGTCCCTGCATTTATAATTATGTGTCAAGAAGATCCTCAAGCAACTTATCATCAAAGTATTCGAACTCGATAACTTCCTCTTCCGCCCGTGCCGCTGCCGATGACCCCTCCGCCGCCGCCAGCAAACTGTCTCCCGGAGTTGTTAATGATGAAAAATTAGACGACGATGACCTAATTTCCTGAGAATTAATTAATGAATGACTACCCGAACTCGGCCCGATTATTACCGGGCCCGACGAAGCATTCCTGTAGTGGTCATCGTTGGGGAAATTTAGAATGGCCAGATGACCCCTCAAAGCATACGCCGCCCTGTCGTAGGCCCTGGCCGCCTCCTCCGCCGTCTCAAACGTCCCCAGCCACAGGCGAGCCCCGTTTCTTTTAGGGTCTCGTATTTCCGCTGCGAATTTCCCCCACGGCCGCCGCCGAATGCCCCGATATTTTACTTCTTTTTCTTGGACGGTGGATGCTTTAGAAATTGCTTCCATTTAATATAACTATATTATTGTTAGTATTATTAATTATGAGTAGCTAGATATTTGTTGTATGTATATATGTTTGAGTCTTAATTGGAATTGAAGCAGACCAACGTTGCATGCCACATATATATACATATATGTATATATACATATATAAGCACGTTGCAAGTTGCAAGTTGCAATACATGATATGCATGCATGTGGTGGTGGTGGAATCGAGAATATTTGGGGTACGGTCAGAAGTGACGGTTTGAATTCTTCCTATACTGGGAATGAGATTTCAAATTAACATTGTCATATTGGAGTAGCAAAATTGACCATTAATTAACTAATATTAATATTATATATAAGATTCTCCCATTTTTTTTTCGATTTAATTTAATAGAAGGAAGAATTTTAAATATATTGTTGCAGTAGTACTTTATACTTTTTATTCAAAGAATATTTATCTTCATATTAACATTAGAAATTGTAGGTCAATTTTGCCTCGTCAGTAATAAACGTTTCATTTAGAGAGCAAAATTTGACAAGAATAACTTTTGTTTTTGTTAGGAAAAAAAAGTACAGCGCACAATCTTTCTAATCAATATATGTTGCATCGTTAAAATATTGGCAATTAACGTAAGAGAACGAGTAGAACATAACACTTGGGTATCTTTTGAATATTGAGTAGCTACTGTTGGAAATCGATGCACGTATACGTAGCAGAATTTTTTTTTTTTTTTTTTTTTTTTTACACATAATTCGATAATTCATGTAATTAGCATACAAGCAGATATGAATTAATTGCATACTTTTTAATCGTTCGTATAATAAAAATATAAATTAACATGCTTAATAAATCGAAATAAATTAATCATAATTAATAAACCAAATCATATGATCAACCATACAATTTTTTCACAAAATACAATTCATATCATATTATAAAATTGAATTAATTTGCAAAAAGTTCGAGTCTTAGCTTTGATAGTGAAAGATTTCGAAAAAATGAAATTGACTCGATCACCAAAGGAAGTTCGATGATTGAGCACCACGTGACCAACGACGGCTGCAACTCCTCTGGTCACAACCTCGGCAAGTGGTCTATTGTTGAGGTTGTGGCCCAATGTGTTTGGGTCTGTAGCCCAATTATATTTCTAATTTAATACACACACTTACTAAATGAACGGCCCAACATCTGATAAACCCATTTGTGGGAATGTGCTGGAAGGCTTAATCCTAACCCTTGGATTAAGCCATGTCATCCTGGCCATTGATTCTATCTGACTTTCCCTCTCCCTTGTACTCCATTTTGCCCGTTTTGTGCCCTAGACAATCTTTGTTCTCTTTCTTTGTCCCCTTCTGCTCTTTACCCCTTTTGCTCCAGCAACCATGGGTCAAACGCCGACGTCCTTGGTCGTGCTTGTCCCAGTGGTGGTCCCTTTAATAGTTACCTTTGACTGGAGCTCCTATTTAATGTTGGGAGTGGAGCGGCAGAGGGTAAGACCTAAAGAAAAACCCTAGTTTGTAATGCCTTGTCCCTCTCTTCTGTGAGTTGGGTCTGTGGTGTGTGGGTGAGTTGCCGAGTGTCTCGTTTTCTTGGTCTTACCTCTGATCTGGGTGGGTTGGGGTTGAGAGTGAGAGATCTGTTATCTATTGGTGCAATCTTAGTGGTGTGTGTGTAAGATTGAGACCTTTGTGGATCTCCGGTGTGAATCGGTTTGGAAGACTGAGCTGTGATTTGTTCACTATTATTTCAATCTTTCATTCTTCTATTTATTTATATTTATTTATGTTTGAATCTTATTCTAACATCTCTTTGTGTTTCTGTAAGATTCTTCGAGTGGAAACACAACAGTGGTATCAAGAGCTTGGTTGCTCGAAGATCCGCTTGAAGAGGGCTTACAGAACCTAACTTGGTTCTGACAAGGTAGTATCTCTCTAAATCCTAGTTTTTCCGTTTCCTGCTGGACTCCTGTGGAGTTTGGGAGCCCTGTGTGGCATTGAGTTGGCCCTGTGTGGCGTGGAGGCCCTGTGTGGCACTACTTGGCCATGTATGGCAGATGTGCTCATATGTGATTTATTTTTCTGTCCCATAAGGTGTCCGGCAGATGTCTTCGAGTTTCCGACACAAAACGTTTCTAAAACGCAAAAACGTTGAGAAGTTGAAGTTTACGTACTACACAATTTGCCATTTACCCTTAAATGAATAGGATGGTGAGGTTGAGCGGTAGATTTTATTTTTTAAATAGAAAGTACTGCATTTACTAAAATTCGTCATATATTTATCAAAAACCCATTTTGAAACAAAAATGTTTCGCTTGCCTTGCAAAGGTGGGCTTTGGTGGGAGTAAATAGTGGGGTGTTATTATTTGACTCTTTTGCCAATATTTTTTAGGTTAATCTTGTCACATATATAGTTTAGTTTACATATCTTGTGCAGATTGCATAGTTCCACTTCAAGTGAATGTGAGTTTTTCCTTGTCAATAAATAAAAATATATGCTTAACGTGTTATATTATAAAATATAAGTTAACATTTACAATAGACAATCCAAAAATATCCAAACAATGTGTTAATTTTTTTTATTTTTTTTTAAATTGATTTCTTTGCAAATATGTGTTGAAATTTCAGAATCATTGTTGATCAAAAATTGAAATTTTGGATATTGAAATTAAAAAAAAAAAAAAAAAAAGGAAAATTAGCCGGAAGCCCCTAAAAAATATTCTCTATAGTTGTAAGGACAAACGAGATTTGTCTTTTTGTTCAAAGTCCTTGTGTGCTTTCTCGCGCTGGATCTGACACTAGGTCTGGAGTCTCACTAACGTAATTGCTTAGAAAAACTAACAGTAATCTCGGCAACGCGGTGATTCGCACAACTTAGTTATATTAATAAGTAACAGCTTAATTATATTAATAAGCAACAACTTATTAGTTAAAATAAACTAAAGAAAAAACTAAAATAAGAATAGATGCATGTCACAACACATACACAACTTACACAGGCAGCTTAAAAAATTTATTTACAGAGCTTAGTTACACCGACGAGCAAAAGTTTAGGAAAAAACGTGATTTTCATGTCATTTTACTATGAAGTTAGACATAGAAATATTATTTGCATAACTTAGTTACACAGTTTAGTTAAAATAAACTGATCAAGAAAAAACATAATCTATGGTGAGTACATCACCACCAACATTACCATCACCAAACAATTCTTCATATTTTTCAGTTTTTGTTTCCATGATTATTAGGTTACAAAGGAGATGAATGAGCGTAACAAATTAAAAATCGTATGTGCGTGTGTGTGGTTGCGTAGGTATGTGATTATGTTAATGTGCCTATGTGTGGTTGTGTGCCGAAAGTTCGATGATGGCAGCGGCGGAGAATGGGGGAAGGAATTTGACAGAGAACAGTCAAGATAGCGCGATGAAGCCGAGTGTGAACAACAAAGGACTTTAGCAAATTGCAAAAGTTGGTATGTCCTATATTTGAAAAACAATCAACGCTCAGGGGTGTTAAGCAAATTGTCCCAAACAAAAAATCATTCCAGATTCAAAAAAAATTCAGATCAAAACTCGTGGAATTTGGAAATTCCATTCCGATTTCTTCCCTAGAAGGAACCCATTGACATCTTTATTCCTCACCTTTTTTTGTCACTTGATGTTTTCCATGTGTAAGATGACAATTGATGTACTTTTAATAGAATATTAGGCAAAAAGATAGTTGGGAAGTTCTCATTTTAAATTAGGTTCCCCACTTTTAATTAGGACCTTCCATGTTGGCCTTGGCATTATCACGTTTACTATTTACCATAAAATTAAGTGGAGTTGAAGAAAGTTGTGGTTGTAATTAAGGATGTTTTTTTATTTTATTTAGCCTACTTTAATTTGGAGAACTAACACATATTATCTATCATTTAAGTTCCTAAAGAACCACTAGATATGTTAACTGATTTTTCTTCCATCCTTTTTTGCAAACAAAAATAAGATTTGTGTGTGATGTTACTTCATTTTAATCATGAATTGATTTTACTAATACAATTTAAATACATAAAATGATGTTTTATACTAATATAATACATTGGAAGATGCAGATTGAATTGGTGTTTGCATAAGCTTTTACATAAGCATGAGTTATTGATTATGATTAAGGGCATGTTTGATAGCACTGAATGAGCGTTGATTGGCAGCAATCACTTATTCGGTCAGTGCCCAGCTTATTAAGCGTGTTTGGTGTTGATAGTTGAATGGGGGTGGTTTAGCGCTTATTGATGATTCAGAAAAGAAATTGTGACTTATTCATCCAGAGGCAAAACTGAATGAATTTTGGACGAGTATATCCCTATGGAGATTTTATATTGCACCGGCCACTGCACCACTATTACACATCTTTTATTTTTCCATTCTAAATATATTATATTAAATTGTATGTGTTGGTTCAGTTCCTAATGTACTATAACACTTTATATTTGATATTTTTAATTAAAAACTTTAATATCAAAATTGAATTTATGGGTATGTACTTCCATTAAAATAGTATGATGCAATAATTATAAGGGTTGTAGTTACAAGTCTAATTTATTCGAGTATATTTTGTTTGTAAATGAACTTGCATGTTCAACAATTTTTTCAAGAATTTATTAAAAAAATTATGTTCATTTTACCAAATTAAATTTTTAGGTTAATTTCGATTTTAATGTATTTCTATGCTTTAGCTACTTTTATTTGTAAGGGTTATTTTTATTAGTTGTTTGAATTTAAAATTTATATTTTATTTATGCTAAATATTTAGGGGCCTTAAGATATAGGTCCCTGGTGACAAAACTTATTAGAACTAAATGACAAGTCCAACTAAACATTTGCTTCACATCCTTTATAAAATTTATTACAAATGAAATTTAATTAACAACTAATGTTTCAACTTATGCAACATAAGGGTATAATAGGAAAATAATAGTATTCAGACTTGACTGACATTCAGTTATCAAATGAACTTAATTGTTCAGCATTCAGCATCCAGACACAACTCTTGGCCATTCAGATATTTATTGAGCATTCAGCGTTAAGTACTTAATTCTATCAAACGAGGCCTAAGTTTGAGTAAATGTTTATTTTTAAAAGTTAAGTTTAATTTTTTTAAGTTGGAGGTATTTGCAAATATAATGAAAAATCAACTTTATGTAACCAATAGAGAAGTTATATCATTTGCAAACAAACTTTTATTTTTTAGCTTATTTTGTTCAAAATATCCTCATTATCCTAATATCGGATAAATAAAATAAGGGTGAAAATGTCATTTTGCCATTTTAGTTAGTTACAGAAGTACTTTTAATATGGAGACGCAACTTTAGAAGTATTTATCAGATTATGGCTTAAAACTATTTATTTTTAAAGAAGCAAAATAAAAAAATTAAACTAGAAGTGCAAATATTCAAAATTGACTATGAAAAAGAAAACTCATTATAGGTTTGAAAAAAGAGGGTGAAATACAATTTCTAGCCATGAACTATAGCCATTGTCGCATTCACCCTTCTATACTATCGGAAAATACAAAATGCCCCCTCCCGTTAGCAAATCCATCACTCAAAGCTGATGTGGTGTGTTGAATACATTTGTTTGAATTTTCATGACAATTTTACCCTTTTAGCCTACTATATATTACAAACAATTTATAATGATAATTCATATGTAAAATACGTAAATATTAAAAAATTATAACTTCCACTAGGTACAATAAAATTATTTTAAATGGCAAAAAAATTGCAAAAGTTACAAATAATAAAAGGTACCTTAGTATGAATACATAAATATTAGAAAAAAATATAAATTATAAAATAATACATTTCAATTCTTGACTTAAAAATATAAAAATCATTTAAAAGATTATATATTTATTGCAAAAATAAATAAATAAATAAACCCCAAATAAGCTATATTATCTTAAAAATGGCAAAAGAATTATGAATTTTATAAAAAAATATTATTATACTTTTTTTTTTCTTTTTCCCCAAAATAAGCTCGAGTATCCATAATTTGTAAAATAATTGACTATGTTTATTTACTTCATGTTTATGCTAGTAGAAATTGTTTGTTAGAGCCTTTGTTTATTAGTTGGGGAAATTCGAGAGACCCCTCATTATATATTACATAATTGGAAGTACCTCACAAACACATTTTGGTTGCAATTACACCTCACGGGTTTAATTTTTCTTTCATTTCAGATAAATCCTCATAATTAAATATTACCTAATTTGCTCTATAAT